TTTATTATTTTATGATGATAAGCTGCAATCATGCAAATGTCACATGACTGCAATGAGGGAATCATAACGGATTTCTTTAAGGAAAAATCGAAGACTGAAAATGAAATTTGACTCAGAAGGGCTCATCTCTGTATTTTATACACTGGAAGGACTTGTAGTACTTACGGATGGAGATCAAGGATTTCAACTTTCAGTGTGGATTACAACTCAATATAAAGAAAACAAAAACCCTCACAACTGGACTACGAGGCAACATCATGATACAAAGAGAAAAAGATTGAAGGTGTCAAAGATTTCAGTTCGCGTGGATCCACAATAAATGCTCATGGAAGCAACAGTCAAGAGGTCATGATGTATTTGAATGGATCAATCTGCTGCATAAGAAAGTTGAACATTGAATAAGAAAGACTAAAGAAGAATTGCTGGATTTGAATTACTGTGCTGGTGAAGAATATTGTAAGTACTATGGACGTCCAAAGAACAAGCCAATCTGTCTTGGAAGAAGTACAGCCAGAATTCTCCTTAACGGCAAGGAAGGCAAGACTTTATCTCAAGTACTTTGGACATGTCAGGAGAGACCAGTCCCTGAAGAAAGGGAAAATACTTTTGGTAAAGTAGAGGGGCAGTGAAAAAGAGGAAGGCCTTCAACAAGATTAAATGACACCGTGGAGGAAACAATGGGCTCAAACATACAAACAATTCTAACAACGGCACAGGCCTTTGGGTTGTGTGGTACATAGGGTCCCTCTGAGTCAGACAGGCTCAACCACACCTAAGACAACAAAGGAATATGTAGTAGTATCCTTAGTGACACAGCCTTAAACATTCAGCTACATAAAAGGTTGTGAGTTTGAATCCACTAGCTGCTCTGTGGGAGAAACAAAACAAAACAAAACAAAACAAAAAACCCAAACACTGTGAATCTTCTCCCAAAGAGCCTTCCAACATTCATAGCCTAAACAGCCTCTAATCCCCTTGAATTGATGTGAGTTGACATCTGCTTGGTGACCCACAACAAAAACAACAAGAAATATGAGACGATCCCTAGTGGTGCAATGTGTACGTGTTGGGCTGCTTAAAACCAACCCAGCAGCTCCTTGAGAGAGAGACATGATGACCGGTTTCTGTAAGGGTTACAGCCGAGAAAAGCCCATGGACCAGTTCTACTCTGACCACTTGATGTCACCAGGAGTCAGATTGGCTTGATGACAGCCAACAACAAGGCATATGTACTGTCTCTAGAAGGGACAGCTGTTTATTTCACTTATTAGTAAATCATACTCTCTTAACTAGTGATCCAGAGTTTATTAAACCCCTTAGAGCCTCAGTGGAATCTTCTCCAAGGTAATCTAATCGTCTTTAACATCATACCAACAAAGAAAACACCTGCCAGGTAATCTGGTGACCCAGGAAGGTGTTTCTGCCTGAACCTTCTGATGTCAGCTTCAGATTACCGAGGACGACTGTAGCATCAGACTGTCAGTCTACTTCTCTAGCCCAGTCTTGTCCATCAGTTTGGACAAATTTTTAATTTCCACATAGTCAACATTCATCTTTCACGAGTCCTTGACCTTGTCAACGTCTTTGTTCTTCCCTTTCTTTATACTCAGTTATAAGGCCAAATCTAGTGATGGTAATAATCTAGATTAACCCTACGTTTAAATTGTAAACTCTCATGTACCTTACTGTGACCTCCAAGCAATCGTCTCACATATTCATCATCCTATTAACGTATTTTCTGAGCCACAGAGGCCATTGAGCTCTTGATGCTAGAATCCATCTTCCTGATCTATTTATACTGGACTCTGGAGTTGATTATTCACTCTCCTCTCCTCACTCTCCTCAATTTCCATGTGCTCATACCCTTCTCCCCAAATGACCTCCAAACATCAGCTCTATGAATGCTAAAGAGACCCGAGAACTAGAAAGGTGAGGCTTACTGAGCCATTTATCCCTCCTCCTTTCAATTAACCCCACATGTGCTTATCATCCAGGTTGGCACTATTAACTAACTGCCTCAAATATCAAACTGACAAACAAATTGCTTGCAACAATTCATGGATTTACATCTGGGCTGGGCACTGAGTGCAGTGTGCCAATACCTTTGTCTGTTTTGGTTAGGTCTAAATCCAAACCAAATACTGTGACTTCCAGAAAAGACATATATGTCTTGGAAGAATCACAGCCAGAGTGCTCCAGAGAAGCAAAGAGGGCTGGACTTCCTCTCATGTCCAGTCCCTGGACAAGGGCACAGTAGTTGGTCAAACATCAGTGAAAACGAGGAAGACCTTCAATGAATGCATTGACCCAGTGGCTGCAACAATGGCTCAGGTGTAACACTTCTGCAGGGCCGGGCCACGTTTTCTTCTGTTGTGCGTAGGGTTGACATGAGTCCAACCCAACTCAACTGATCCTGATACGACTCTTTCACATTGCTGTCACCAATGTTCCAGGATTCTCATTTGGCTTAACCCCTCTGAGCCACAATGACTAGTTCTTTCTTAGCTGCTGGATCATGTAGTGTTAGATTCTATAAGGTTTCATCTTGGGCTTTTTTATGGTCTTCCCTATTTATGCTTCTTTCCTTAGTGATGTCGTCTAATCTGATGGTTTTAAATATCCATAGGCTAGCAACAATAACAAGTATATCTCCAACCCCAAATTTCTCCTCAACTCTGAATCTAGACGTGTATTGGATACATTAAATTGGGTCTTTAGCCCTGTCTTAGTTATCTAACACTTTTATAAAAGAAATAGCACAAGTAGATGGCTTTAACAAACAAATTTATTCTCTTTCACTTTAGGAGGCCAGAAGTCTAATTCAGGGCACTAGCTACAGGACAAAATTATCTCTTCATGTTAACTCTGGGAAATAAAGCCTGTCAACAAGTTTCCTCTAGGTCTAGGAATTTCTCAGCTCAGGACCCCCTGGTCCAAAGGATATATTCTTCTTATTGGTGTAGAAAGTCCTTCTTGCTCTACTCACTTGTCTCTGCTTTAATCTCCTGTAGGAAACTGAAGGTTGGTGATTCAAGATTTATTCCATCCTAATCCCTGCCTCATTAATATAGCATTCACAACCTAACTCTCATTAATAAAACCTAATTCTGACTCACTCTTGTAAATGACAAGGAGTCCTAGCAGGTTTGTGAATTGTCTGTTGGTTTACAAACCTCAAGGTCACAGTTCAAAACCACTGGCCAATGTCTGGGAGAAAGATTAGGGGTTCTCCTCCAGTAAAGAATTACAGACTTGGGAATTCACAGAGACAGTTCTACCCCGTTTTATAGGGTTGGGATGAGCTGGAACTGACTCACCGGCAGTGAGGAGAACTTTAAAGACAGCTGCCATCCAAATAGCCACAGACAGGTTGTCCTTAGCTATTGATTTGGCAAAGAAGCAAAGATTTACACCTCAGCACACCATGAAGGATGAACAGATTTCAAAATGAAGGAGAATAGCATTTTGTTCTCCTAAGTCAACTTGACACATATTTTCAAGAAACACAAGTCAATCCACGACAATCCCCAAACCTGCTAAAGCTGTAGTCTTCCTCGTTTTCGTGCATATGATCCCGTTTCTTGCAGGGACTCAGGTCAAGTGTGTGCACTCATTTTGTCACTGCTCTCCTTTAGACAATTTTCCAGCAAGTTTAAGCCTCTCTTTTCATTCCTCTTCTCAACTCTGTGAAAGAAAAGTCTACAATACCATCGTCTTTTTCTCCCTTCTCATTTACTCCTCAGTTATTGCTATTGGCTTTCTCTCCCTGTCTTAAGCTTGTATCTTTCGAAACCAATCCAGAATCCTAATATATCTGTGCCATGTCCCAGTCAGTCATGTTTAGCATTCTCAACTGTCCACAGGGTAAAGTCCAAGTTTATACACTACTGTTTTCTGTATGCGTTGATTTCAACCTTTTGTTTGAGAATTATCTATCAACTGTTTCCTCTTCACTACTGTGTTCCAGATTTCTACCACACAGAAAAACATAATTAAATTAATTTGGAATGAATGAAGAAAGCATGCAAGAGAAGTTATACCTTTGGCATTTACATTTTGGTAGCTAGAAAGACATAATTTAAATTTTACATCCAGATCTCAGCATTTGATTTTTTTGGGGTGTGTTTAGTGATGAGGCATCAGTAAAATGAGGCTGCTAAACATAGGTGACTCAAATTTTAATATGTCCGACCCTAACTGAAAGGCTGGAATGTCAAGTTAATCCAGAGTTGCTGCAGAAGAAAGCCCTAATGATCGGCTTCTCAGAAGTCAACAGGGAAAAGACTGTGGAGCGTGGTGCTGACATACATGGGGTTGCCACGAGCCCAAGTCAACTTGATGGCAACTGGTTCTAGTAACTCAGAGTTATAACTGATGCTTGTTGTTGGCTGCTGTAGCATGATGCTCAGTGACCACATGCACAAGAGGATCACACCTCTGTGATCCAAAGACTTGCCATCAGAGGTAGTGTGTGGCCTTCCTTTTCAGTGTGGCGCCTGTTCACTCTCCCAGCAGTGTACACACTTTTCCCAAGAGAAAGGTAGTGGCTGCATTTGAAGTGCTTTGGTCAATAAATTCACCTGGTCTCCCTCATAGAAGATAAGAATTCTACTACTGACCCAACACTGACCCAACTCTGAGTTAAAATGAATGATCTAGTTAAGTTTTAAATTGAACACTAGATGTTGCTTTTGTGACCCCAATAAGTCAAGATGCCCTGTACGATCCCATCAGATCGGCTTGCCAACTGGCTGCTTTAGAACCATTCCCTACAACCGGATCTGCCTGGGATGATATTGCTGCCTCTGGTAAAATTTATCAAAAAAGACTTGGATACTAAGATACTTTTTAAAGCTATTATCTTTGGCAGCTATTCACATGATCATAGGGCAATAGGCAATTTATCAAGATAAATAAGATAAATATTATGATACATAGAGAATAAAGTCAAGATAAACCTCTGACAAGACTGAAAGTCTAATTTATTACATATTTCATAGGTCTCTTCGGGTGAGTCTGAAGCGAAACCTCTGATCTTCACATTTGTTCCCACGGTCAGAAGACTACCAACGCACTTTCAGTTGGCTGACGCCTCTAAATTCCTTGTTAAAATCCCTGAGGAATCCAGTAATAAGAATGCAGAAACAATAAATAGGGTAGGATTCTTTTTCTTTTTCTTTTATATGAAACAATGACTTGCAAATTTGTTCAAATGTGTATTTTCTCTGCTTAGGAGTAGATGATTGTAAAATGTAAAGTTGATGAAAAATATAATAGGGACCTAAATGCTTTTAATTGGAAGGTTATCGCTCTTGTGTTATTCTCAGCCCTGTGGAGCTGGCATCCGAGTGTTATTCAGGCAACATTTTTCTGCTGTCGGGCACCACCCCTCATCCCAAAGATATTATTGGACAACAAAAACAACTTTTAAAAAATGTTTAAATTTAATCTTGGAAGGTAGTACAAGATAAAGCACTAGGGTGTTCTTTTATATAAAAATATTGGCAGCCTGAAGAACTGTAATATCCAACATCAGGGTAATTGTAGGCACTGGTTTACACAGACGTTACTGCATTTTACTTCATCATATGATTTTTTGCAATAGAGTAAACCTTATCCACAGTCTTATAATAACTGATGATTTTTGAATAATCTAACTCTTGAAACTATGTCCAAATGAAATAGTACAAAGGAAGAAACAAGTTATATGGGGTAGCCAGCCCCCCAAAGCTAATCACGGGTTCGGTAGACACACTTGTATGGTTAAGACATATAGAAATTATAGTAAAGTCATAGGGAAATGGGAGAGATGGGAGAGAGAGTAAAATAAAGAAGTCAGACACATTTCATGGTAGCATACTCACCTCAGCTCCTCTTGGAGGTACACGTGGAGGTGGGGGATGAGAAGGCAGGAGAGAGTTCTCGTGAGGTTTTATTTCTAACCAATTCCCTCCATACCAGTCAGGAATTAAGTTCCAGTCATATTTCACTCAGTGTTAGAATCCCACATTTCCCCTTTCTGTATTACGTTTAAGATTGAATAGTGTCACAGAGGAAACATGGTCTCTCTTCATATCTCTTAGTTTCTTATAGAAGTGACATGAGACTGAGAGCATCAAAATTATGTTGATAAACAACATAGTCAGACTGGAACTTAAACTATGTGAAATGCTTTGAACCCAAGCTTGCAGGTCCAACCCTTTCATGCCATTCACCAATTATTTCATTATATCAGAGCCAGGAGACGCCTCCAGCCTGTCTTTGAATGCAAAGAAAACATCCTTTTTTAGCTGATCAACATCTAATGAATGTTTCCCTTAAACCCTTGCAAACGTTTTCTAATCAAATCCCAATCATGCAGTGTCTTATTATATGGGTAAGGGGTTATACAAAAATCAGGTACATTCCTATAACATTTTAGCATTAATTGATGAGTCCAAAATCTTGATCTTTTAGCAAAAGAACAGTCTGTTGTGATAGTCCAGTCACTATTATATAAAATATTCTCTTATAATAGAGTGTCCCTTAGATAGCATCAGCAATGGAAGAAATATCTCAGCAGGCAGTGATTGCCATTCTCAGGAATCCGTGAGGTCTTCTTGATGTTTTGGATAACTTCAGTAACAGGACAGGGTCAGGTCACAGCATTAGCTTCCCTCCTTTCTTCTGGGCCTTGCTGGCTAAAGAGAACTCCACCTATCTCCTTTGCCTATGAAAACATAAACAAATAGCCCCTCTCTTTGGGGTGTCAGCAACCTGGAAACAGAATCAAGGTTATGATTGGGTTGTTTCTTCATCTCTTCCGTGTCCTTCTAAGGGGAGTCCATCAGGTTTATTCTGCAAAAACATGAATGTATAGCCCTTTCTCCAGATGATAAATGGACCTGGATCCCAAACACGATTCCTGTCTTCTAGGGACTCCTTAGGATCAGCTTTCTCTGTAGAAGTGAAAATGTGGGGGCTGGCCCCAATCCCAGCTATGTGGACACCTGCCCTCCCCCCAGAAGAATTTATTTCAGAGGCCAGCACTGAATCTGCAGCTCCGGGAGAGGGACATGTCTGACAGAGCACACGGGAGCAGATGAAGGGGGAGGGAGAGAGTGGAGCACATCCTGGCCCACCAAGCCCTGAGGACCATATTCCTGCTCAGAGCAGCCAATCCACAGAGAAGATCACATCACCGGCCCCACTATGAGACATAACATCCCTCATTGACCCATAGCCCTACACGGGACAACACTGGAGACACAGTGTGGGAATTCTGCTCGATCAGATCCCACCACACTGAGGCAAAACACTAAGGATGTGGAACAGAACAGCAAGGGAAACAGAGCAAGGAAGTCCCCAGGGAATACTGAAAATAGACTTTGGGGTCAGGGCTTGGTGCCCTAACAGACTCAACTGGAAAACATTCCTAAAGGCCAACAAACAGTCACTGAACTAACTACAAGCTCTTCTTTCTTGTTGTTGTGTTTGGTTTGGTTTTTTGTCATTGGCTTGTTGTTGTTTTCTTTTATTTTGTTGTTTGGTTTTGCTCTGTTTTGTTTTTGTGCATGTTATTATCTCTGCAGGTCTGTTTAAATAAGGTAGGCTGCATGAACAATCTGGAGGAGAAAACAATGGGACTGACAGTTCTGGGGGGACATGGGAGAGGGGAAGGTGGAGGGAAAGGTAGTGGTATTAACAAACCCAGGGACAAGAGAACAACAAGTGATCCAAATCAATGGTGAGGAGGATGTAGGAGGCCTGGTAGGGCATGATCAAGGGTAATGTAATGGAGAGGAACTACTGAAACCCAAATAAAGGCTGAGCATGATAGTGGGACAAGAGGAAAGTCAAAGGAAATAGAGGAAAGAGCTAGGAGGTAAAGGGCATTTATAGAGGTCTAAATAAAGGCATGTACATAGGTAAATATATTTATATATGAGGATGGGGAAATAGATCTGTGTCATCCTCACAGCCAGTGTAAACCTGTCATGGTAGTCCCTGTGTCGACCCATCCTGTGCAGGCCTTCCTCTCTTTCACTGACCCTTCACTTTACCAAGCCTGGCGTCCTTTCCCAGGCTCGGGTCTTTCCTGATAGATTGGCCAACGTCCTGGAGTCAAAGTCTAGCCATCCAAGCTTTTAAGAAACATCCTGGCTGTAATTTTTCCAAGGCAGATATATTTGTTTATCCAGCAGTCCACAGTACTTTCAATATTCTTTGCCAACATCCTAATTCAATGGAATCAATTCTTCTGTGGTCTGCCCTATTCATTGTCCAACTTTCCCCTACAGATGAGACTATTGAAAATACCATGACTTTGGTCAGGCACACCTTAGTCCTCAAAGTTATATCATTGCTCTTAAACACAGGAAAGAAGTTTTGTGCAGACTTGCCAATTTTTTTCTTAACTACCAGGGACAATGATTGTGGATTCCAACAAGATGAAATCCTTCATAACTTCAATCTTTTCTGTTTTGTATGATGTCGTCTATTGGTCCAGTTATAAGGCTTTGGTTTTATTTTCATTGAGTTGTAATCCATGACGAAGATAAAATATTTAGAGAAAATAAAAACAACCTAATGTCTAGGAGCAGGTAGACCTAAACCTAGAATGGTTTAGGAAATTATGATGCATCAACTTGACAAAGTTACAAGTATGGTGATAAAGCAATTCCATGAAAAAAATCTTAACCTTACAATATTAAATGTTAAGATAGTCTATACCATTATATACATATACTGGTTATACCTATCTAAAAGGAGAGCAGGATTAGGAGTGACATTAAAAATATAGAACAACCAAAATAAAGCAATCTTGAAAGCGACTTTATGAAAATGACTACTAATGACTAACGAAGCCAAATTATTTCAGAAAAATCTCGAACACTACATAAAATATACTTAAGAAATTTCTCCCTAAAGCTACTCCAGTGCATAGAGTATCTCTTTAGTAGTATTATTATTTTTTTAGGTTGTACAAGTTCTGTGGGGATGTAGACAAATGAACCTGCCCTGGTTCAAAGCTGCATAGTTTATCAAGACTATGATAGCAATCTGCTAATTGCAATGTGACATTCATAACCCCATCTTCAAAAGGTTAATGATTTCCCCCACTTTTTAAAACCAGTTGGTATTATCATAACCATTTGTTCATTTACATATTTCACAGTTAGTGGTGTTGTGGGTTAAGTATTGAGCTGCTACTGTAAGTGTGGTCATTCAAACCCACTGACGGCCCCACTGGAGATGGATGAGGCTGTCTGCTCCTATGAAGGATTACAAATTTGGAAGCCCTAAGGAACGCTTGTTCACATCTAAGTTCCTAGAACAAATTGGTGGGTCAATGAGAGTGGGTTTGGTTTGGTGGTACAATGATTCAGGGATAAATGCTAACTAAAAGGTTGGCAGTTCAAACCTACCCACAGCTCCAAGGGAAAAGTCTTTTTTAACCTTGTCAAGGTTAAAACCTACAAACCCAATGGGGCAGTTCTATTCTGTTCTATAGGGACACTATGATTCATTATTGACTTTATGGTACACAACACATTTAAAGTAGTAAGTCTATATTTAGTTAAATGGTTTATTAAGGAAGTAAGCAGCTACAACTCACTATCATGATCAGGAAGCATGACGGCAAAGTCTCCTCTCTTCTGTGCAGGACAACTTTCTCAGGCATCTCTCTCTCTCTCTCTGGGAAGGGCTCCTTCTCAGCCCCATTGGGACAAGCTCCTCTAACTCTGCGGCCCTTCCTCACCAACTCGAATGCAGGGCCCCGTTGGTTCCTATAGCTATCATCAGTGTGATGGCCTTTCACCTGTGTCCCACCTCTGTTAGGAAGTTCCTTACCTGGGTTCTCTCTCTGCTTTATTTCTTCTACTTCTTCTTACTATTCCTCACCCTTCTTTCTTATGTCTCCAAAAGCCCCAGTGGGGTTTGCTTCTTCTTCAGTTTCAAGGAGATCTGGTGGTGTACTAATTACATGCTGGGCTGCTAACCAAAATCTCTGCAGTTAGAAACCATTAGCCAATCCTTTGGAGAAAGATGAGACCTTCTACTCTTGTAAAGAGTTACAGTCTTGGAAACCCACCAGGGAAGCTTCACCCTGTCCAGAGGGTCACCATGTGGTGGCATCAAGGTGATGGTAGTGAGTTTGAGTTTTGGGGTGGCCAATTTCAAGTCATGGCCCTTCTTGTAAGTGCCACAATCTAAGCAATCCGCTCTTGGTAGCCCATGGATGTTTTATTTGCATGGTGAACTATGCATAGCTATGGCCACAGCATTTGTGTGGCTTATTAACCAATGCCTTGAAGTGCACACTAAATACATGGCAGACTGTTGTCCAAGGCTGGACAAAAAATATTAAAATCAAATTACTTACAGCTCACTCAGGAAATATTAAGTAATCTGTACCCCTGTCCCCATCCCCCACCCCCAAAAGAGCTCATGGAGGTAGAAATCAGGATATATGGAAAATTTCTCTCAAGTTGAATTTCCCAAGAACTAAGGCAAAAAGTCATATAAAGAAAATAATTTCACCATAATTAGGATGCCATGGTAAAGGTAAGAATAAGAATACTGTTAACGGAATTAAATGGGTATTTGCCAATAAACATTATTTGACAACTCTTTCCATTTACAGGTGAATCAGATAAAACATATTTATGTAGCACAGACAATCAGATTAAAACATAATGTACATTTATCCGGGATAGATAACTTTGCATTGTTAATGTGAATATAGAACTTAAGAGTGGGACTGTCCCCTCTACTTGGGTAGAGGTGACAATTCTTAGCCAAAGGCAGAGGGATGTTAGGAACTTTCACCAAGAAGTGAGCATCCACCATCAGGGTGCACCTTTTGAGCATAGCTCTCAGGCTACTCCCTGGGGTGTCCAGAGAAGGACAATGTTGTTTTTGTTGTTAGGTGCCCTGAAGATTGTTTTTGACTGATAGCAACCTTGTCTACAACAGAAGGAAACACTGCCCAGTCCTGAGCCATCCTCACAATGATTATGTTTGGGTCCACTGTTGCCACTACTGTGTTTCACTGATCCTATCCTTTCGCAAGCATGATGTCCGTTTCCCAGGACAGCTCTCTCTAGGCAACATGTCCAAAGTAAGAGAGCTATGTCTTGACATCTTTGCTCCTAAGGCGCTCTTTGGGTATACTTCTTCAAGATGGATTTTCTTGCTCTTTTGGCAGTCCACGGTCCTTTCAATATTATTGAATACTATGGCCAACCATAGTTCAAGAATTCTACTGGCTTTTGTCAGGTGTTACCCCTTCCAAGAACTAACAACAAGCAGAGCTTCCTAGAGAGGAAGGTACCTAGGCACTCAACAAGTATACATTTCATAAATGAATAAAAATTTGAACATTGAAATGGAACTAGCCACCCCTACCTAAGTGATAGGTTGTTGAGATTTCTAGAACTTCAGCCAGTTGCTGAAATTTTTAACATTGAAAGAAATTTTTAACATAATCTGAGTTTTTCTTAATACTGTAAATTGTAATTTACTGAAATAAAATAACCAACTACAGAGGAATACTCTCATAAGCAGCTTATATTTGATCTCACCCAAATGAGCAGCAGTGGCTGGAAAATGTGGCATGAATGTACAGAATCAATATTTTAGTTATAGCCTATCAATCATTTATTTACACTCTATCTTCACACACACACAACACTAACACACATATTGGCAGATATTAAGCTGAAACTTTTTAGTGTTTTATTTCACTATTTATTTTGATATCATTTTAGATTTTTAAAAGTTACAGAGAAAAGGACAATAGAAACAATATCATAGTTATCAAAACCAGGAGATTGATATTGGGCTTTTAAAAATGAATTCTAATGTCCACTACTGCTATCATTTTAGAAAAAAGATGTTTAGGTAGCTGGATAACGCCTTTAAATTTTCTGCTTGTTAATAGAAAATTGGATGAAAAGGTTTAGAATTATAAATCCAAATTAGAATTAAATAGCAAAAAAATACTTGGTACTAAAAGTGCCTACATTTTTCAGTTTTTTTATTCATGAGTTCTCCCAAATTAGCTTAGATTGTGTAATTTGGATAACTGTGCATTTTATTCCAGTTTTGTTTATTCTCTCAAACATTTAGAGATATTTATATTATTGGAAACTTTTTCAATGGTATTTCCTTTCTCTGTTGGTTTACACAGGATATTGAGGTTCCTAGCCCATAAGCTGAATCTGTGGTGTATTTGAATTTGTTTCATAAAATTAGTTCCTTCAAGCCATGACTTCATAGAAAATATGACTGTTTAAATTAAAAAAATAAAATATATAAAAATATCTTGGTTTTTCTGGAGATAGTTAGATGGCTTGTTGACAATGATTCTGAGCCCTAAGTTGCTAGGCTTGGACCAGGCCAGATATGTAGTTTAGCAAAAGTTAGTGATTAAAAACAATCCAAGTTCTTTAAGGCCAAAGTTATGTCTTCAATATTGTTTTAAAAACTCTTGTTCTTGGAGATTATCATCAGGTATATCTTTTCAGTGTACCTGCAAAAAAGGAGCATATACTAATGCTTCTCTCTCTCTTTCTCTCTCCATCACTTGCAGCCCAATTCCAATGACTACCTGACCTTCAATACCGGAAGGCAACAGCAAACAGTTGAAGGGACATTTACTTATCCTCTAGAAAGCAGAGGAAAGCTTTCAAAAGGAAGAGCACTTAAAGGAAACAAATCTCAAGGAATGCAGCAAAGTGACCTCTTCAAAGCTGAGTATGTCTTTATTGTGGACTCTGAAGGGGAGGATGAAGGCCCAAGCAGAAGAGGTGACCAAGGCTCCCCAGTGCAGAAGGGTTCTGGAGCTGTCCGACCCAAGTCTCTGGCCATCTCTTCCGGTCTTGTCTCTGATGTGGTGCGTCCGAAAACCCGGGGGCCGAATCTCCAGACCTCCTCACTTTCTGAAACGCCTCATGGATTAGCCCCTCAGCAAAAGCATGGGCAGGTAGGTTTTGACTTCATGTTATATGAAAAACAAAATTAATTGCTCACATACCATTTGTTCTGGGGTGTTTACCAAAGGCCTTTTTGTTTAAGGCATACTATACTCTCAGAGAAAAACTAAAAAACAAACAAAACAAAACAACCTCCTCCCTTCCCCCGGGAACACAAATCATCTCTGTGTAGGCATATTCATAAATAATATAAAAAGATCATACCTGTATCTTGTGAATTGGCTGAAGAGAAAATGCCACAGATTTAGCTGGAGTGGATTTGGGTGAATTTGACCTCTTATCTTTTTTTTTAATAGTTAAATCATTTTATTGGGGGCTTGTCCAACTCTTATTACAATCCACATGTACATCCATTGTGTCAAGCACTTTTGTACATTTGTTTCCCTCATCATTCTCAAAACATTTGCTTTCTACTTGAGCCCTTAGTATCAGTTCCTCATCCCTCCCCACTCTCCCCTCCCCCACGACCCTTGATGATTTATAAATTATTATTAGTTTGTCATATCTTACACCGTCCAACGTCGCCCTTCACCCACTTATGCACTGTCCCCCAGGGAGGAGGTTATATGTAGATCCTTGTAATTGGTTACTCCTTTCTCCCCCACCTTCCCTCCACCCTCCCAGTATCACCACTCTCACCACTGGTCCTGTGGGGTTCATCTGTCCTGGATTCTCTGTGTTTCAAGTTCCTATCTGTATCAGTGTACATCCTCTGGTCCAGCTAGATTTGTAAGGTAGAATTGGGATCATGATATTGGTGGGGAGGAAGCATTCAAGAACTAGAGGAAAATTGTATATTTCATCATTGCTACACTGTACCCTGACTGGCTCATCTCCTCCCCATGACTCTTCTGCAAGGGGATGTCCAATTTCCCACAGATGGGTCCTGGGTCCCCACTCGGCACACCCCCTCATTCACAATGCTATGATTATTTTGGTCTTTGATGCCTGATACCTGATACCTTTAATGCCTCGTGATCTCACAGGCTGGTGTGCTTCTTCCATGTAGGTTTTGTTGTTTCTCAGTTAGATGGCCACTTGTTTATCTTCAAGCCTATAAGACCCCAGACTCTATATCTTTTGATAGCCGGGCATCATCAGCTTTCTTCACCACATTTGCTTATGCACCTGCTTTGTCTTCAGCGATTGTGTAGGGACAGGCTGGTGTGCTTCTATTTATAGGTTTAGTATTAAAGACACAGATGGACAGTGGGCCCCTACTCAAGTACTCCCTCAACACAATAACACTTTGTTCTAACAATTCGGCAGTCTGAGATGCTCACTTTCCTGGCATGATCACTGAGGATAATGGGTGCACAAGCAAATGTGGTGAAGAAGGCTGATGGTGCCCGTCTATCAAAAGATATAGCATCTGGGGTCTTAAAGGCCTGCAGATAAACAAGCAGCCATCTAGCTGAGAAACAACAAAACCCACATGGAAGAATCACACCAGCCTGTCCAGACCTCTTATCTTTTAATAATTCTTAGAGAAGATTGATAATGGGAGTTTCTTGGAAAAGATTGATAATGGGAGTTTTTTTATTCATGGGAGAATTCTTGGTGATCTTGGCACATCAAGAAGCACATTTCAAACATGACCAGGACTGAATGAGAAGGCATAAATTGGAGTCCAGGTGAGGATACATTAATTTTAAACTAGTCCAAGAGTAGCCAAAGGGTAAACTAGGAAATAGGAGTGTACATGAAAAATGATTTTTTCATATGTTTCTTGAGGAAAACACATGTTTCCTTATGGTCTTGAAAACTACCTGGGTAAAACTAGCCTCCATTAAATGAGGAGAAAAAAGATTCTATCTCAAAATTTAGCAGCAAGCTTTAACAGTGCCTTCTAGGTTGGAAGAGTCACATCTTGGTGGCAGAATAAAAAGAGTAGGGAAAGGGAAGTATGTAGATGGCAAAGAAACAGGAAGATTATGTTACTGGCTAACTATTTGACCTAATAAAAATGAAAGATGGACATTCCTAGGGGTAAAGTTAGAATGACAGAAATATCGAGGCTGGTTTGGCGAGTATGTAGGTAAATAAGTCAAGGCATCTTCTCACGTACTTTGGACACATTGTGAGGAGAGAGCAGTGCTTGGAGGAGGCTATCTTGCTTGGTGAAGTAGAGGGAGGGTCTAAACGAGGAGAGCCCTCAGCAAGATGGATGGATTGACAGTGGTTTCCGCAGTGGCCTCAAACACAGGAACATTTGGGAGGGGGCCGCAGGACCAGGCAGTGTTTCGTCCTGTTGAACTTAGGGTATTGCTCTGAGTCGGAACTGATTTGATGGCACCAAACAACAAAAGCGGATGTGCGGCTCACCCTCTATGCCAAGAAGCAGGAGTTGGTACTGAGATGCCCTGTTTAGAATCTCCTCAACCAGGTCTTTGCAAGTACCGCCGAAGAGCTTTGAAACCATTTTAACAGTAGGTTAAACTTTGGCTGCTCCTTTGATATATGGAACGTGGTAGAATAGGCATTTTGCCATTCCATCTTTATGTCTATGACCTTCAGTCGCAGCCCCATGCTCTATTTGTACTGGCACCATGTGTGTTGTGTTCCCTCAAGAACCCCCTTCTCCTACACACCCCCCTTTGAGGATGAGTTAGTTGTATGTTGCCGAGTCACTTTTAGTTCATAGAAATCAATACTTTGCAGCCACGTGGAACTGTTCCGCAAGGTTTCCCAGGCTTTCATTCTTGGGTAGTATGCTGCTAGGTCTTTTCTCTGTCGAGCTGCTGCTGGTACTGACTGCAGTGCTTAATCTGGCTTTCATCCTTCTGATAGCCAGGCAACACTTCTATTTTAAATCTTCATCCTGTTCCTCTCTTCTTCAGCATCCTACACTATCACTAAAGTATGAATTTCCTATCTCTCAGTCCCTGAGCTCTGGAGTACTCTGTCTTGAGTAATTCCTTCCTTGCCTACCACTATTTCTATTTTGACTGTGACTACTCCGTGCTTACAGGTCCACTCAAAGACTGCTTTTCCTGAACACGCCCCCTTCAGTGATGCATTTCTGCTCTTCTTCCATCTTTATTACTTTCTCGCGCTATTTTTAACCCTTTGTTGCATGAACCGAGGTTGTAGTGGAGATTTTCATAAAGGTTAGGAAAAGAGAGAAAATAACATTTATGGCCCCCTTCAACAAATAAATTGTAATAATTTATTTTATTTTTGTTTTTCATTAGACCGAGGACAACTAAAAGGCAAGGATGTGTCTTGTTCATTTTTGATCCCCTCGCTCTTAAGTCAGTGTTTTGCAATAGTTCGGGTTTCAAAAAAGATGTGCAAGAAATAAATGTTCAAAAGTTCGCATCCAGCTCATCTGTGGAAGTCCAGCTCAGAGAGGGATTCCTGCAGAAAGCCCCCCTTGGTTTCCTCAGGTGAAAGCCAACTGTCTGTCTACATGATTTTGACAGTCTTTTCTGTACCACCTTTGTAATCATTTTCCTGTTCTAGCCAGGACTACCACTGTTTAAATAAATGCTTCAGCCACCCAAGCAGATTATAAACTGTTTAAAGACAGATTCCTTGTTTCATTCACTTTTCTTAAATTTAAAAAAAAATTATATTTATTTTTCCGTATTGGACTGAATGTATCTATAGCCCCAAGACAAGTAGTATGTTCAAGTAAAAACACATTATGTTTAAGCTATCTTTAAACACTTTAAAGTCTAAATCATAAACCAAAAAGACACATGAAATACTCCATGGAGTCAAGTGCTCCTTGTCCTTGAATGTTGACATAAAAGTCGAAGGATTTTTCCCACCCCTGTTATAGGACGAGAGCTGAGAGGGAAGTAATAAACTATACACACACTGGCAGTGATTTGTCTGGAGGATGTATGACAAAAGCCGGTGCTAAGGAAATGCCAATGGGAATAAAGATGCTGAACGAGTAGAATTTATGAGACTTGTTCACTGACGTTATGTGGGATGTCAGAGCTCGTGTTTCCCACTCTGCCCCTTTCTTACTCATTACCCAGCATCGACATAATTAGAGGGGGAGATGCTGAAGGCAGTGATGACACCCTAGCTTCTGCTCTGTGTCCTTCTTCCTGCACCTAAAGACATTTCAATTGTTCGTTCAACTAAGGAGGTTGGATATCATTAATTGAAGATAGAATAATAGGATAGAATTTACAGAATAATATCCTTGGGAAGGGATAGGGAGAAAAAAGAAATCTGAAATTGAGTTTGAGATACCTTAATGATACCACATGGTGGTATCCACAAAGATGTTGGGCTAAGCCATCTGGAACAGAGGAGGGAGATGGAGACTGGGAATATTTCCTTGTAAGTTGGAGCAATGGGGGTGGAGGAAAGAATGGAGAACAAGATGTAGAATACAAGCCAGAGAAGAACAAAACAATTCAAATCACGCTGCTCTGGATAAATTGCTTAAAATCACATGCCTTGATTTCCTCAACTGTAAAATGAAGTGATGATATCAAGGTTCCTGTGTGTGACAATTAAGTGAGACAATATGAGGGAGCTGAAAGAAGTTCATGGAAAAATTCCATGATCTTTTTTTTTAAACAATATTTTGGGCATATACTTCACATATCAAATAATTACACAGTTCATTCATATTAGAGAGAGTTGTACACTCATGTCCACAATAAATTTTAGAACATTTACTTCTTTCTTGTCCCCATTGTCATTAGCTGGCTGGAGGCTGTGTGTTCTGTCCCCTCCTTATCTAGGTGCATTGCTAGTACAAGGAAGAGTAATGATCCGTCTGCCGTGTTCTCAATAAAATTTCAGGCCTAGAAAGTAAAGAAAACAAAACAAAAAACCCCTTCCCCTCTATCCCTCCCAAGAAACCATCAAGGCAGTCACTATCTCTATAGCTCTACTCATCCTGGATTTCATATACAAATAAAATAGAAAACAAAAATACAGAAACAAACAAACAAACCACAAACCCACTGTAGTCTACTTGATAGCAAGGCTGTTCATATCCCTGGTCTGTGTCCATTAT